TTAGTCGGAAAGCACGGGAGATCACTTCGCCCACTGCCTCATGGCCTTTGAAAATGTCCACCGCAGTTGTGGACGAAACGTCAGGAAGAAATTCCCATAGACCACGGCTTCAAAGCCCGAAAAACGTTCCTAAATGTTTATTAAGTTCGTTTGTGTTATCACATTTACTCTTTCTCCTCTTGGGTTTTTCGTGTGGCTTTTCTTTACTACATTCATTGTGATTTTTTCGAGTAGGTACTTGTTTACTGATTCTAAAGCCATTGAACGAGCAAAAGTTTATCATGAGTAATCTGTTATTGTTAATCTGTTCTTCAATAAATCTTAGTTTGATTGTTTTGCCAATTTAATTGATTGAACCTACAACCCGTTAATAGAACCCTGTGTAAAATTGTATAAGATTTGAACATGAACTCATGGACTATTTCTTGTGCATCGACATAGACACACCTGCAATTGGGCGCCCACAATTTCCTATTATTATTAGAAGGCGAGTAATTTAAGACACACATGCAATGTTGGAAAATAAGTAAATCCTACCTAAAACCAATTAAAAAAAAATTACGATAAAAACTCACCAAACTTTCTAGAAATAATCCGTCACATATCGTCGCTAAGAAGTTATAATCGCGTATAGGTATAAAAGATTCTTCTCGCGAACAAATTCCCGAGCAACAACAACGCGTACACGTACCGATTACATTAATAAAATTTGCACAAAGAAAACTTGTTTAGCGAGCGTAAATGATTTTACAAGATATGCAGAAATTAGGTAAGCAGCAGCAGCCGGCTTGAAACTACAAGCAGGTCCGTAGGTATACCTTGGCACCGATAAAAGTCTACATTTTAATCAAGTTTAACGCATTCGATTTGTCGGTTACAGCCCGCACTCCATCAGAGGAATGTGGAAAACCATATGTCTAATTATAAGGGTGAATTGCAAAATTACTCGCAACACAAGGCAAACACTGGAATTATGTAGTTTTGGTTCTGCTTGAAAACAATTAATCAACTTCAATGCAAACATTCTTCCTCTCTTGATAAGTAGCCTGAAGGCTAATAAAAATAGAAAAAGCTTAGAATGCGCTAGTCAAAGCCTCTAATCTACTTATAAAAATAACAGGCGCTTTCAGGTTTCACAGGCAAATACTAACGAAATACCTAAACGATCAGTTTCAAATGCACAGTTTCTTTGGTATTATTGCATGTGTTCCACATGTTTTATTTATTGCAATAAATAATGTTATAAATAGTATTTTACTGTTGGCCTCCACCTTGGCCTTCAGGGTTGCTAGCCGAAGAGATTACCATAACAATCACCACTGGAACGATGTACATCCACTGCAAAGAAAGGGGGTTCTCTTCAATATTAGTTAACCGGGTGAAACGCGAAATCCTACTTACATATTTTGCCAAAAACGATCTGTTGTCCTTCACTTCGCCTTTCTCCTGGGCCTCCCGTTCTCGCTCAATTTTCTGCACGAATGAGGCGGTATCCGGACTGGAAAGACCCATTAAAAATTCAATGGATTTTACCTTATCGCTTACTTACATCGCACCAACTTCCGTGTGTCTTACATAGACATTTGTGGTGAATTCCTTCAGTTTATCCAAAGGGGCGGATGCCCCTTCGCATGCAGACTTCGAGGCGATTACATTAGTGACTCCTACAACTCGCCCTGAGTAATCGAGTGAAACTGAGAATCTATCGTCCAGTTCAGATTCAGCCAACATACACTAAAACCGAATTCCTATGGTAAATTGCTCAGAAAGGTCCAGCAAAGTACTCACTGCTTTCACAGCGGAAATGAATGTTCTTTCAGTGCCATCATTAGCGACTACTGTGATCCTGGTTTTGTAGAGTTCGTTTGATTCGGCCAGTTTCTACGGAAAACACAGCAGTTACGTGCGTTATGCAAACAGCAGATTTTGAGCGCTTACCTGAATCTGAAGCTGCTCTGCCTTAGATAAGGGCTTCTGGCTTACAATCGCCTGCCGTAGTCGCAGGCTCTGGACCGTGATATTGCCCCGCTCAGTATACACAGGATGGGGGCCTCCATTCAAAGCATGTTGGACTTTGATCAGGACTGAGCCATCGTTCTCTAAACTACTCTGGAAAGATATCTGGAAGAACTATATTAAAAATATTCAGTTTTAATGGGGATTTTATGAATTTACCGATTGGCTGAGAATGGGATGAATCAAGCAAACCAGTAGACCGGCAAGCATTAACATTTTCTCTCAATTTGCTCTGTTTATTACTTAATTTTGAACTTGCATTAATTGACAGGAAAGTTTGGGGTTATAAGCATAGAACAAGACTCAGGTAGATATGACTGTTATACGTGTTCATAATTTGTCAGCGAAATCGCGCCTMTGTTGGCTAGGAAGTAAAGAATTTGAACAAATCCTACATTACCAACCCGCTACCTGGAAGCTTTTTAAATGTATCCCAAGAGGTCGCTGATTTTTWACTTTTTTACAGTGCTTTCCAGAATATTTAACATTATAGAAATTTAACTTACCTGCATATATATAARTTCAGATAGAATTAATCGTCAATATCAATTTGTCTCGCATAGTGAGTGGTTTAGGGTGAGAGTTGGTRGAGACGAAGGGCTAGTGTAGCCCCCTTGTAATACATTGTTGCCARATCTGAGCTGATTTGAAGAATTATTATAGAAAGAAAGAGTGAGAAAATGAGATAGATGTTCTTATGTATTTGCCGTATTATTTAAGATATCGATGATACAAAAAAATGATTTCCCATTTAAAATATATACCAAAAATCAGGTTAAAAGTTATAATGTTGAAAGAATCTAAAAACATTGTAATATAATAAACAATATAACGGGTGTACAGGGTGTTTGGTAAGTAGATGTATTTCTTGAATGGAGTGATAGTGCAAGTAATTTTCCATCCATTTCGTTAATATACCGTATTCCGAAAATGCTTAGTTTCCGATCTACAGGCTGATTAAAAAGTGTAATTAAAAAAAATAGTTATTAATATTGCGGAAACCGCTTGAAATATTTAACCAAAATTTTAYACSKCTTAACCTTTTACCTCTTAACCTTTACCTCTTTTRCCTCTTAACAACAATGCATGTTTTAGGATGAAAATTTTGTTTCTAGCTTTTCCAGTCGCGTAGGCACAGCCACGACTGTAGATGATTTTAAATAAAAAAATGTTAAGCCACTGATTTTTAACGCAATAAAATTGATAAATTAAAGTGATGTTCAATTTGGAAGAGAAAAGGTCTCTTGAGTTTTTTCTACGCCGTTCCGTTTTCGATTAAATAAATTACTACTTAAATTACAATCGATTTATTGCATAGCTTAATCGGGTTGTAGTTGAGTAGGGTTTAGTATAAAAACAAAAATTGTGCACTTATATTGTCACAAAAATTAGTTACAAAAAATTATTTTTTTTTAAATCAGTGACCATAACTAGTGCAGAGAATTATAAAACTTTAATGAACGAAACCGTTTTTAAAAAGTTTTATTCAATACAACGAGAAATAGGCTTGACTACAATTTTATTGATTAATTTGAAACTCACGTTTTTAAAAAACACTTTATTTCAAA